ATTGCATATTAAAATTGTACTAATTTTTTTTGATTAATATAAAGTGGGACCAAAGTACTTAATGTGTTCATGTTGTGTTGTAAAAGACTTTAGCTGCTATTGAGGTGTGATACGGGGAAGGTTAGTGACAGGTGTGTGGGTATGGGTCGCATATTGCCATGGCAAACAAAAGATGTTTTTCACAATATAACCCAATTTTTTCACAGTTTTATGTGAACGATTAGGCAGGTGATTTTCAGATCATTGTGAAGAAAAAACTCAAGTCAAAAGTCTTGTGGATGCATACTTAGTATGTTTTTTGTGGCCTTATTTGAGAAACTTTCATTTTAGTTTTTTCAATAACCATGCATAAACAATATTCTCTCAAAAATAAGAACATGTGCATACATGTTGCTCACATATTATGGTAGCCCTGTTACCGGTTATGCTAAATATAGTGTAATTTCACCTGTGCCATTAATATGTTTATAAGCAACTGAAACAAGCACAAAGGTCAGGGCATGTCAGAACATCTCAAGGACCCCAAATACACCTTGGGGGTGTACAGTGTAATTATAAATGGAATTACATAAATCAATTACAGCTGTAATTACATTCAGGTGTTTTTTTTTTAAATATAAGTACAAAGTAAAAACATGCATGCACACAATAAGTCCATTGTATCAAATCATTAATTTCAATGTTAGTACAGCCACTTAATATAAAGCGGGCCCAAAAGACTGACTATTCAGTTGGATTTAAAAAATGCATAGTTCTGCATATGCTTCGCATCAAGGGAAAAGGGGAAGATGGGAACGGCCGAGAGGGAACAGGGCGTCTGCTACACGGCAAACAAGATTAGAGGTCGATGTAGCAGCTGGGCACTCGTGGCCTGTCGAGAGGCAGAATAACCCGGGATCTCGCCATCTCTCCTCTCCTCCTTCAGGGACGGACACAACACTACCGTTCAGCTGGCCAAACACAAGCCTTCAGAATTTCATCTCTGAATATTAGCCTCGGTAATGGGCCCATCGATCAGCCAGATCAGTTTTTCGGCCTGTCACGACTGATTATAAGGGCAAGATCATCAATGACTATTTTTGCTTGGTGTGAGGCTGACAAATATTGGCCTTTTGACTCCGCTTTATTTTTTCTCCAATGAGATTGATCATGTTTTCAGGCTAGAGCCGGGCGGGATGGTGGGATATATATCGTGCGACAGTGTGTCAACTGGAAGACATATATAATGTTTATATGGCGATCGCGATTGCAAAACGCACCACGGCAATGTCTTAATTTGTCATGTGTTGTGTGCGTTTGGGCAGTCAACATGTCATTTTGCATTGAAGCTCATCCAGTATTAAAGCTTTCTGTTTTTAGAAACCCACTTGAACATTTTAAACAATTACTTAAAGGTACAACATGCAAGATTGTTTCGCCACCAGGGGGTCGCTAACCTCTTACAATAACAAAGGTTTATATTAATGACGTATATTCTGCATGGATCTTGTCGTCAAGCTGATGGATCTTTTATGTGTGAGTGAATACATTGATGTTTTTAACATGACTGTAGTATGAACCAGTGCACGATTGCTAAACGTAAACCAGCGCCACACGCAACGCGAGTCCCGGGGATATAAAGTAGGGATGCACGATATATCGGCCAGCATATCGGTATCGGCCGATTTATGTTCATTATTAATGTTATCGTTATCGGCCTGGTAAGAAAATATGGCCGATATATTACAACCGATAAATAATGTATTATTCCCTTCAGCTGAGACACCTGTTGAGAACTGTTTATGTTTTTGAATTTCTTGAAATATGATCGAAATTTCGAAATTCAAAAAATTAAAATCTGGTTCGGGACAACATATCGGCTATACAACACTATAATGAGAACATCATTATTATTGTGCACTTGGGACGTGGATTTAATTGTGAGACTTTTGTTTTTGTAATCAGGCTCTCAAAATTAGATAAAAATTTGGATTTAAGTTTATCGGCCGATATATCGGTTATCGGCTTTCAAATATAAAGAATTATCGGTTATCGGTATCGGCCAAAATTTTCATATCGGTGCATCCCTAATATAAAGGAATAAGGACATTTCATTCTACCGAACTATGCGCTGAATTACTCATACAGGTTAGTTTATTAGAGGAATTAAACTTGCGCTAACAGCGCTGCTTCACTTGCTCTAACAGTTTCACGGCATTTGTGTGTGTTGAGTGTTAGTTAGGTTGTTTGTTGGCTGTATGAGACTAAGCTAGATTAACATTAGATATTAACATACAGATCATATTCTAACTTTTCATCATGTTGAACTATATAACATTGATTACTTTTATATATTTTACATTGATTTGCTCACCTGTTTGCTCAAGTAACATGCAACACTCGCGTCTCTGTCAAGTCGAAGTTAGTCGAAGAAAGATGTTGATCTTCGTTTTAGTCCTCTGTTTGTCTCAAAGTCTGCTTGCCATGGTCCATAATGTTTGAACAAAACCCTGCTAGGGACTCTCACGCTGTTGAGCACGCATAACGGGCATAACCGACCCAGTTGTCCACGTCTGTCGCCATGGTTACTATTGCAGTACGAGGTCAAACCTGGCGGAAAACGCGGGTAACGCGGATATGACGTCACTGACTGGCGACTCCTCACCCCTGCTCACACGCCCCGTTTCCGTGGTTAAAAATCGCAATTTTCTCACGAATAGTTGGAAACATTTGGGGTATTGTAAGTAATCAACTAAACAAAATATATAACATTGGCCAAGTGGATTTTGGATATTTTACTGCAAAAATCCTGCATATTGTACCTTTAAATGTTCCAATGCACATGTTTTCAATGACCACATTAAGTCATTCTTAAATTGTTTTATATGTAAATTAGGGATGGGGCCGATCCGATCCAGTATCGGTATCGGGACCGATACCAGCGTAATTCACGTATCGGATTTTTCCGATCCAACCTGCGGAGAAATCCGATATTTATGATCCATGTCTGCGCTTTAACGTTGTCTGCTGAAATGACTGCAAAAGGGATTCCCCGGGGCTGCTAATCTGCTAGCTGGCTGCAAACTGTGGAATGGATATTTTGAACGGAGGTGCAGCTCAATCATAGACTGTAAAAAATAGGGCTCAATGAGACACACAGACGCCCACTCAGAAAATCCATTCCGCAGTTTGCAGCCAGCTAGCAGGATAGGATTGAGCTACCAACATGTTCGCTGTGTGGAAATACTTCACACTGGAAACACCGCAGCAGAGCAAGACCGCAAAATGCAATGTTTGCAAAGCCGTATTAATTAAACTATTTGTCTGTGATGCATGTTTGCAATTCGCAGTCCAGAAGAGAAAGAGAGATATCTCTCACGCAGTCCCACAGCACGCACAACACGACAGCCCTGCTTAATGAGTGACGACAGAGGAAACGTAGCCTGGTTATATCTATGATATTAGTCTGATTTCCAAAGATTAAAGAATATATTGAGGTAAAAAAACCATTAAAAACAATAGCCGCATTCTGTCTAGCCAACTTTCTTCCCATCGCGGCGGTGCGCTGTCATTTCTCCTTAATACTAAAACTTAAAGACAGAATCAGCACGATCTGTTGTAAAATGCAGGCTCTGTCTGCTGTTGCTAAATTGCGGGACACTTTTAATAATAAAGAGAGCTATTAAAAGCACAAAATTTGCGCAAGAAATGCTGTTCCCAATGCGCGCGCGCTCCGCAACAGACTGCAACAAGACAAGCAAATTATAATCTGGGCTTCATATGCGCGTCTAAACGATCAAATGTAGCCTGCACAAGAAAAATGTCAAACCGACCGGCTTGGAGATTAACACTTAAACCGTTTATGTCTAAAATGAACGTAGTTATGGAAGTAGTTGGGAAAAAATAAGGTGCATCAGTAGATATGAAATCTGAACTCGTTCTTAAAGGGGCAGCAGTATAAATGTGACGATTGCGACATTACTGAGAGTCAAACAACAAAAGGCAAAGAGAAAATCACTCACAGCTCTTGAATGGATTACTTCAGCTCTAATAAGCATAAATCTATCTATGGTAAGCTTTTCAGTGCTATTTTACTTTTGATTACTTTATTATAATTCTTTTTAGACCATACCTGAATAATGTTAGTAGACCTTCCTGAAATTAAAGCACTGTGTAGGCCTGTATAATGTGTATCTTTGTTTAATTGTCTATCTATTGTTTAATATATATATACTGACATAGGGCCTACATACGCACATATCATCCTTGCCTGTAGAGAGGAGTTTATTTCAACATCATATAAAATCAACAATAATGATAAATAATATTAAAGCAAACACAGCTCTGGTATCGGAAAAGTATCGGTATCGGCCGATATCCAAAGTCGGGTATCGGGATCGGATCGGAAGTGAAAAAATGTGGATCGGTGCATCCCTAATGTAAATCTGTTTGGTTTGTTGTGTTGTTTATGTGATTTTTTTTGTGTAACTCATGTAATTGTCACCCCAGGGCTCCCTTGTTAAAGAGATTTGAATATCTCAATGGGACATCACCCAAAAAATAAAATAAATGTGTTTCCTTGGCTGCACTGCTCCTGCGCAGAAAATAAGACATTGCATGCAATCGCAACACTACAGTACATCGTATTGTTGACACTTGACAAATATATGATTACTGTAACACGCTTTATAGATTGTAATGCAATAGGAGGCAGTTATAAAAGCACACACTGTTCCTTTACAACGTGTGCAACCATGCGAGTTTAACATTGCATTGAATGTGACAGCACACTGTGAGCTGTGTATAAAAATTTTATGAACTAAGAAATTCTGCATGAATGCGGCTAGAATATTCATGCTTCTACATGAAGGCACTGTTGATCAATTTTGTGTGAGGTTGCATGCAAATTGTGGAAACTGTTTGCATTGCATCAAATTCCCATGCATGCAAAATGAGAAAGGCAGAATAAAGTGTGTATGTGTGTGTGAGAGAGCATGTTTCACTGCATCAGAAGCCTTTACCAGTGTGTTTCTCGAGCTCTGTCAGCGTGTCCTGGTATTCTTTGATGATCTGGTCGTAGCGAGAGATCACGTCCTTCCGTAGGTTGTCCCAGTGTGGAGAGAGCTCTCCCAGATCTTTCAGCTCCTGTATCCTGTAGGACACAACACAAATCAATCACCATTTTGTTAGCTTGACTTAAAGCATTCCCGAACAGGGCCAAATTCCCATTGACTTTCACTGAGGGGGCGAAAACTTTTATACAAAGCAACAACTAGCCTAGGACAATGTGCTAGAAACATGCAAGCAACATGCTAAAACATGTTAGCCATGTGCATAAAAAATAATAGCAATGTCTTTGCAACGTTGTACTAAAACATGTTAGAAACATGCTAAAACATATCAAACATGCCTGAGGAATGCAAGAAATGAGCTAAAACATGGCATCAATGCATTAAAACATGCTAGCAATGTGCTAAACATGCTATCGACGTGCTCCAACATGCTACAAACCTGCCAGTAATGTGATAGTAAGATGTTAAAAACAGGCTAAACATGCTAACAGTGTGTTAAAACATGCTAGAAATGTGTTAAACTGTGCTATCAACATGCTAGTATTATGTTAAAGATGCTAGTTACATAGTGCTCAAACATACTACAAATCTACTAATAATATGCTAAGTGCTAATGAGTTGTTAAAAGAAGCTAAAACATGTTAGAAACATTAACATGTTTTAGTACACATGATAACAGTGTACTAAAACATGTTAGAAACATGCTAAAACATATCAAACATGCCTGAGGAATGCAAGAAATGAGCTAAAACATGGCATCAATGCATTAAAACATGCTAACAATGTGCTAAACATGCTATCGACGTGCTCCAACATGCCAGTAATGTGATAGTAAGATGTTGAAACAGGCTAAACATGCTAACAGAGTGTTAAAACATGCTAGAAATGTGTTAAAATGTGCTATCAACATGCTAGTATTATGTTAAAGATGCTAGTTACATAGTGCTCAAACATACTACAAATCTACTAGTAATATGCTAAGTGCTAGTGAGTCGTTAAAACAAGCTAAAACATGTTAGAAACATTAACTATGTTAAAACATGTTAAAGGAATGCTATAAATGTGCTAACCATGCTATAAATGTGCTAAAACATGCTAGAAACATGCTAGTAGTGTGCTAAATATGCTAGCAACATGTTAAAACAAGCTAAAACATAGTAGCACCATGGTAAATCATTTTAACAATGATGCTAGCAACATTTTATTGCCTTCTAATCCATCTAAAGCTTCTAAAAGGTAAACTTTCAGACGAATTTGTCAAGAGAACGTCTTTAAACTACTGTTCCTGTTCAACATACAACACCCAAAAGTCTGAGAGCACTAGTGAAGCTCTGCTTTGCATTCAAAATGCAAAAATTTGCTGTTGCTAATGAAAGAAGCGCTGGAGCAGACATGATCAAAACCTACTCGAGCAAGAGATGTTGAGCATCTTCTGAACTTCTGAATTAGGCTACTGGCATTTTTTAGGTTTTCACATGTATTTTACACTCTCTCAGTCAGAACATTATTATTATTTTTTTTTTGCTGTGAAGGCTTGTATGAAAACACCTGAAATGCTTTACTGCGCTAAACCTTGATCTGTGTGTTTGCGGTTGGATCTGATACTGTTTTAACTGCTCCATCCTTCAATAAAAACATATCCGCTGCCTCAAACCAGTATTAAGCGTTACTCATACTCACCCTGTGCTCTCGAATATACCCCTCAACCTGCTAAGATCAGACTGAAAAGCTTCACTATCATTTCTGACACCAAAAAGTACAAAACGAGCCGTGTCTGCTGCTTAGTGTCAATAAATGCTTATTTTTCACGTAGTTTTGAGATATGAATGCTTCAGTAGCCTACTACTGTAAAAAAAAAATTTGCAAACTTTCTCATATGACCCCTTCAAATCTGTATATGCAGACACTAAAAGCCTCAAAAATCTTTAATGGGGTCTTTCAAAAGAGATCCCAGAGTATTTTTGCATCAATTCAACAGGTGAAATTGCCTCATTCAGCAGCAATTACACACAGACGTCTCTCGTGTCATGCTGAGAGGTTCTTTTGCTTGACCCACCGTGTGTTGGAGTAATTGTTGTCTCTTTCATGTTGTCATGTGAGGAGGACTATTACGGTAGATTTGAATACGTTGCAGGCTCAGGCTCTTATCTCTTCACGCAGACTGACAGAGCCAGGTCTCATTAATAAAAGGCCCAGGAATCTTTAATTGTGGAGGGAATTTCCAAAGGAAACAATGATTCATTTTCATGTAAATTTAAAGCCGCTGTGATACTTTAATAATGATTTCAGCAATGTGATTAGCATCTTCAAAAGGCTTCAAGAGCTGCAGAAATGAGCAGAAAATCGAGAGATTATTGTTTCTATTGAACTCTGTTAAAGGTAAGAGCAGGTTTTTCCCCTAATAATCCTGAATCTTATCCTCAATAATGTAAAGCCTAAGCGGGTTTATTTAAGTGGGCAACTAATATCAAACAGAAAATTATGATTGTTTTTGCCGAAGAGATAATCCCGTTAATTGCTTCCAATATATCAGCATGTGCACAACTACATAAAGAAATCAATACTTTTATTTAGCAAACACATTAAACTGATTAAAAGTGATAGCAAAGACTAGCGACTTAATTTCCAGATATCCATACAGTTTATCAATTTTATATGTTTTTTTTTAACCCAACCACAATTAAAGTTCAACTCTTAATTAAAGCAATGTGCAACAACGTGATTTAAGCATTGATGCAAACGTAATCCACAGTGTGTATGAGTATCTGATGTCTGAAATATGAGTCCCATTGGATAATATTTATATCAATCTTTTTAAGTTTATTTTTCAAATGATTCCAAATTTATATCAGTCTTTCATTTTTCCACACGACACAAATGAAGGCTTCAGCTGTTTTTGTTCATACAATGAAAGTCTATGGGGTCCAAAACAACAAGATTGACATGAAACATGAAATATAAACATGAAAAAGAAAAAAAATACTTTTGCCGAAATATCTACACACCAAGCAATGGTTTCCACACGATATCTCCAGAGAGGAAAAAAAAATGCAAAAATACCGTACTATATTTTAGTTCATTACTTAACTGTCACCGTCCCACAGGTGGGACGTTTGCCACTATATTTTTAAAACAATAATATCTTAGTAAATACCTTAAATAATATTGACAAACTATATATCATTTGAAAGCTTACAATCTCTAGTTTCCATATTTGGTGACTGATTTTCAAAATATATTACAGAGGAGCCATAATTTATCAATATAAAACGAGAATATTTTCATACTCATAAGGCGTGTTCAGACTTTTATTTTAAAATAGCAGTAAACATGAAAAATCATGAAAAAATGGTAGATGCCTCAGTTTGTTTTCATGCCAAAAGTTCAAAAGATAGAATCCATTCAATTATTTTGAAAAAAAAAAAAGGTCTGAAAAGTTTGAAATATCAAGAAAAAAATAATAAATTCACCATTTGTGACGTGGCAGCTAGCTATGACTTACATGCGTGTTCTTTGTATGTGTTTCTTAGAGGTTCAATTCATATCAAAATCTGCCAAACTTCCCATGCTACTTCTGAATAGGATCTCTACTTCAGAAATTGTATGAAAATTGTGAAAATAATGGTTCATATCACTCAAAACACGAATGGAAATGCAGGCGCCCTTATATGGGCAGTAATGGAGTCTGATTGTGCCCTAGTGAAAAAGTTTGGTACTGCGCTCAAACAAAATCTTACTGAAAGCTCATTTTTTGAGATATCAACCTAAAATTTGAAACACAACTTGTTCAGATTTTTGGCTTTGATTTTTCTGCCATTTTAGAGTAGCCCAGGTTTTGAAAATATATATTTTATGTAAAATATGAATAATTAATATTTTTACATTGTACATTTCCATAAACTCAAACTTCAATAACTTTTTTCTGTTTCACTTTCTTAATTTATTTCACTTCTACAAAAATCTGCCAAATGTCTTCTTTAAAACAAGACCAATCATATGTCTATATTCCAAAGGATTCTTGAATTACAACCATTTAAGTTCGAAATGTGCATTTTCATGTCTATTCAAAAAAGGGGGGGTGACAGTTAACAGGTTAATGTTTCTGATTTAATATGTTGTATTTTGGGGGATTAAACTATAAATATGCTGTAGCAATAATTTAAATAAAACCTTAAGTTTGGTCTAAAGACGACACTTGTTCCAAATTTGAGTTTGATATCTCAAAAAATGAGCTTTGTTTGGATGCAGCGCCAAACGTTTCCCATGCATTTCCAATTTTTGACTGCCAACAATACAAGTGTGACTATTATTTGCAGGCCCATTTTCGAATCATATACATGCTTTCGTTACAAATGAATGCAGGTCATTTAAAGACTTCAGCTCAGCATTCAGTCACAGACGCCTTCAGAATGATCGATTCTGCTCTCGTTCTGATGGTCAAACAGTGGTTATCTAAGGAAAATAGGTGAAAAGGCATTGTTATTACTTCATGCCGAGCCAAAGCTGTTAAAAGTCAGAGAAGATCTTGTGCCGAAGTTTGTCGAGCCACTTAAAAAAAGCATCATCTTATTTTGTTCAAAAGCACAGACTTGAATTGTAATGCCGCTTTATCAGAATGAGCAGTGGCGATAATAAAAAAGAGATTTGTAGCGGAAAGAACGCACACGGGGAGGAAGCGGAGGAAACTTCTGCTTCATGTTTTATTGGGGTTTGGGAGGATGAAAGACACACTGATAAAGACAATAGATCTAAAAAAACACACATGACTTTGGCAGACGCTGGAATTATGTCTATATGTTTTTTGTACGGCAGGCCATCTAGGAAACAGCCACTCCGAAGCCTTCATTTCATGGTGCGTTACGGCCACCGTTCACTTTCAATCACCGGAGGCTTTGTGTCTGCCATCAGTTCCAGAAATGTGAAGGGAATAATAATTAACAACAGTACTTTCCAGTGACGGACACCGGCGGCGAAAGCCAACTAGTCTGGATGAGCACTTGCTTGTATAATGACGTTTCTTGTTCATCACGTTTGGCTACATCAAGAGAAAAAGTTGATTTGTCTGGCGGCCATAACACAC